TCCTGTGCTCGTTTCTTCTCTCCCCCCCCTTTATTTTGTGCTTTTGGGGGGGGGGATCAGGAAGACCATAAGGCCCCGCCCAGTGACACTCGAGCGTTTACACGGAGTAAAAAGCTTTTAGGCTTCGAACCTTGAAACCGATTCCGGTCACACACACACACACCCCAACCGCCTTGCTGAAGGCGCGGGCAGCCCCGCGGATGGCCTGAAAGCCGCTGGGGGGGGGGGGCCCTGGGGGGAATCAGTCAGGGACTTCTCGCTGCTGCAACTGAGCACGGCCAAACTGCAGCCCTTCTGCAGAGGAGACCAGCCTGCTGGGGGACGCGGGGTGTGTGTGTCTTTCTGCCCTGCTCCTTTGAGACTGTTCCCCAGCACCCGCCGCCACCACCACCAGCCGCTCGTCAGACCCCAAAGGCTGCCCTCCCTCGCAAATAGGCCCTTGAAGACGCTGCGAATCCCGTCCTCGCCAGGGTCTGCTGGCACCTTCCGCTGGCACGGAAGGGACGGTCCCTCCCAAACGCACCAACCTATCAAGCCCCCCCTCCCTCCCCGGCCTGCTCAGGGATTATTGGGGAGAGGCGAGCCCGCCTTATCTCGCCGGCTGTGGTCGGGCGACCCCTGTGCCAGGCGCCCAAGGCCCCGATCCCGTTCTGTGGTGTTCATTTTGCCCCAGTTGCTTGTTTTGTTTATTTCCATTTTACAGTTTCGATTTATGTACCGCCCTTCTCTGAATTCTGAATACGAACGACGGAACAGGAGCCACTAAACAAAACGCCACAATCCATGGTCTGAAACGGCACTCAAACCAAGTCTTCGTTGTATCCAAGAGAGGAGCTTTCAATATTCCTGGAAGGGAACCCCCTTCCCCCCTCCCCCTTCCCAGGAGGCGGCCTCCTCTGTTCCCTTGGAAGGGTGTCTTTCCAGTTGCCCCTGGCCCGATCTCGGCACCCCCTCTTCCCAGCAGAGTCGCCCTAGCCCAGGCCAATGACGACATCACAGGTGATCGCTGTACCTGAGGCAGCCGCCTTGAGCACAAAAGCTCATACCTTGAACAGAACTTTGTCACTGCTTCAGACCAACACGGCTACCCGACTGAATCTATATAATATATGAGTATATTATTATTTGTAAATGTTTTCTTCTTGCTTTTGGGACGACTAGCCTCCAATTAATTTTGTCACTGGTTACAGCAGGCGCAATACAACATTTTGAACACCTATACACATTTCCTGTGCCTTTTACAGTGTTAACTTCTGCCTGCTGAAAGGGTTTCCCATCCATCTCTTTACAAATAAAAGGAAAGGAAAAGAGACAAAACAGGACGACATGGAGGAGAGAAGAAGGGTGTTCGTAGTTGGGAGTCCCCATCGGGGAGAAAGGTGGAGTAAAAAACAATTTAATAAATACACAAAATCAAGCTGTCTCTAAGAAGGCGGTTTATAGGTCTGTCAGAAAGGGCCATGAAGGATTTTCCATATAGCCCCAAAGCATCACTTGAAAGAAATTGTAACTGACAAGGTTTACAAGCATATTTTACAATCCCTTTTTGGTGACTAACTGTACAATTCTAAACAGAGTTAAGCCCTTCTAAACCCATAGACCTTCATGGGTTTACAAGGTTGTAATTCTGTTTAAAAAGGTAAAGGTTCCCTTGCTCGAAAAAAGTAAAGGTTGCCTTGCTCGAAAAAAGTAAAGGTTCCCTTGCTCGAAAAAAGTAAAGGTTCCCTTGCTCGAAAGCCAGTCGAGTCCGACTCTAGGGTTGCGGTGCTCATCTCTGTTTCAGAGCAGAAGAGCCAGCGCCGGCCGAAGACGTTTCCGTGGTCATGTGGCTGGCATGACTAAACACCAAGGCGCACCGAACGCTGTTACCTTCCCACCGAAGTGGTACCTATTTATCTACTTGCAATTTCTTGCTTTCGAACTGCTAGGTTGGCAGGAGTGTACTTCTGTTTAGGATCATACTAATATACATTCCTTTTAAAATGGGTTTTGGTGCCCAATTTTAATTAGCCATTCAAATTATTCTTCTAGTTTTGCTTTTCATTAAAGTTCTAATAGCCTCCGTGGGGGTACTAGCATTGCCTAGGGATTTTCTCCCAGAAACGAATCTCCTCCAGTGCCCTAAATTTGTTGTTGTTCAGTCGCACAGTCGAGTCCGACTCTTCGCGCCCTAAATTAGCTACCAGCAAATCCTATTGACGTACTTAAACTAACTCTCCAGTCAAGATCAGGGTGTTGAGCCAATTTCCTTTCAGGAGAAAGCCCCAGACATTCCCTGGACGAGGAAGGGAGGTGGGTCTCCTTGATCTGGTAGAGAGGAAGGTTTTGTGGCCCTGCCTTCATGTTGGGTTGCGGCTGCGCAGGGCTGAATAAGCCTCTCAGATTTGATTTTAAAGGGGGGGGGGGAGGTTCTGCAATGAAGTTCAACCATCTACCTAAAAAGGACATTGGTGGATAGTAGCAGCAGCAGCAGCAATACAGACTTCTGTGAAACCTTTCTCCCATGTATTTAAGACAAATTCATTTTAAAAATTAGCATCTTATTTGATTGTTTTCAACTGCCCTTGGGGGGGGGGATCCCAATTTTCTCCACCAGGAAAGGAATTTAGACATTTTCTGGGCAAGCATCTGCACATCTACTCAGAAGTAAGAACTACTATAGTCAATGGAACTGATTCCCAAGTAAATGTTTTTAGGACTCTAGCCTTAATTATTATTTTTTATTTTCTGGCATCTTTCTTGATAAATCTTGATATTATTATTATTGTTGTCGTTATTAATATTATTATTAATATTCCTATGTTTCTGGATGTCTGATTTTTAGATGTAAATACCAAATTTGGAAAATAGACTCTTAGATTTACACCTCAAGGGTCATTCCCATTTAGTCCTGTAGCCCAGTTTTGTCTGAAGCATCCTAACCCCAAGAATCCAAAGATATGTAGCCTTGGATACCTGTCCATCGTTTAAGGACACAGAAGTTCCACGATCTGTCCCCACGGTCTTCTAAGAAGCCAGCTAGCTAGTATAAACGATCTGTCCCCACGGTCTTCTAAGAAAAAGCCAGCTTGTATAAACCATATTTCCGAGGGCTCCGCTGAACTCCCCCTGAAAGCCCAGGACCGCCTCTTCTGTCTGAAACCTGGTCCTGTATCAATGCCAGGGGGCAGAATGCTGGGAAGGATCTCTCCACCACTGAGCCGGCCTGAGAGTGACCCCACATTTCCAGAGGCACCCGGAGATTCCAGCTCTCCCTCCGACGGCCGGGTGAAAACTTCCACACCTTTTCAGTACAGGATGGTGTCACAAAGCATACCCGACTACTATCCGCCCCTCTCCCTTTCTCACCCCGGACGGAACCCTGCTACAAGTCGCCCACAGACACCGAGGGAGACTGCCCTCTAAATGCAGGAGAGTCGGGGGGGGGGGGGGGAGAGAGAGAGAGAAAAGACGGCGGCAACAGGCCTGGAGGAAAATGTTCTGAACTCGAAACAGAAACTTAATGTGTGTAAATGGACAGCGGAAACTTTTCTTGACAGAAGGGTAAATAACCTCCCATTAAAGCCTCTGTTGAAGGGAAAGGACACCCGCCCCCCCCGCCAGGTGGCGAACCTACATTTAACCCTTTCCCTCCCCGCCATATCTGCACACTCCAAATGGCCACTCCCAAGGATCTCAAGGAACATCACTCTAGGACCACAAATCCTCTAAAGGCCAAAATAGGAGTCCAGCTCTTTCTTCGCCTTTGTCCTTTCATGCTTCCGAAGTGCCACTCTTGATGTTGTCAACAGACCTGAATTAATAAATCTGAAATTGTCATCTCTGGTACTCCATTCCTACCAGCAGTCATTCAAATCTGGCCAGATCCAGCAAGATTTCACCACTTTTGAGTCCCGGTGGTTTCACTGAGAAATGCTTCGGGCTGCGATCCTAAACTCCCTTACTAGAAAGCAAGTCCCACTGAAAGTGATTGGACTCCTCGCTTGTTTAGGAGTGCTCTGCCGATCTCTTCCATGAAAACCTTCCCAGCAGACATTAGTCGCATGGATCCCACTGAACAATAATTTTAGGATGGCTGCACAAATCATGCTTAACACCAGTGTGGTGAGCGCAGTTTCCCAGGGAAGTAGAAGGGCCTGTTTGCTCCGACCCGGGTAGCCCAGGCTGGCTGCTCTTGTCACCCCTGGGGAACGCAGCAGAGTCTGCCTCGGTGAGTATTTGAGTGGGAGACCACCAAGAAATACCAGGGTCCCCAGGCAGAGGCAGGCAATGGCAAACCACCTCTCCGGACCTCTGTAGCCTTGAAAAACCTACCGGCGGCCACAGGTCGGCTGCGACTTGGCCAAAAAAAAAGGGGGGGAAAAAGGCTTCGTAGGAAAAGGCTTGACAGCGGCCCAGCTAAGAGCGTCCCATAACTCAGAAAAGGACTGGGAAGGAGAGCGAAATCAGGGGGAAGGTGGGCAATATCCCGCCCAGTATAGGGCGGTGGGGAAAATCAGAGGGGGGCCCCCATCCAACCTGGCAATCAGTCCGTTATGACCAATTAGTCCTGGCAATTAGTCCCTCAGTAACACCTTTCCGTGTACAAAGCACAATTCTCAGCCGCCCACTAGTTGTCACAGTCCCGCAGGGTACCCGAGAGACTGACCGGGCGGAATCCTGGGCGAAGCCCCTTTTATGGCCCCAAACAAACCCACCGCAAGGGACCGCCGCGACCTGACATTCTTGGCTGGCGACTCCGAGCCGCCGATAGCCGGACTTCCCGGCCTCCTCGAGAGCCTCCCTCGCCCACCGACTGCTAGGAGGACCTTCTCCCGCGGGACCGGCGGTCCCTTCTGAGACGCCTGTTCAGGCAGCCCGCAATGAACCCGCGTGAGAGGCTCGGCGGCGTTGCCTTCCCGGCGGATCCCTCCTAATCCTGACGCCGAAGAAGGGCCTCCCGCCGCCCCACAGTCCCTCCCCTGTCCTGGGGTGGGATCCCGCCGGCCGGGGTCGCTTACCTGCGCTGGAGGGGCGCACGGCGAGGGGCGGCCGGCTGGGCAGGCAGTGGAGCACCGAGTTGTCGAAGGGGCCGGCTGGCCAGCTGGGGGGCCCGAGCTGGGCGCCCACGT